TGAACTTTTAAGGTAATTTGAGGCAATACAAGGCTTGATGTGGAGTGTTTTCATGCTTCCTAAAAAGTCTTGCACGGCTGGCCTTGAACTTCGGGTGGTCTAAATCGCTGACCATCATATCATGTGGAATCTGAATATGGCCTGTCATGTTTGGAAAACGACACATTTCCAAAGGACGTCATGCCGAAAATACATGAACATTGCAAGCTGCACAAATCATGCGCAAACAACATATATGAAGCATTCGGATGCATTCGAAACCTCTTATTGATGTTGGACATATCATCGTAATACTACCGCAATTTATAGTTATCCAGGAGTAGATTAGAATATGGAAATGTCAGGAAACTACAAGAGTGGGAGTGTATTTGACACTCCATATGCTTTGTACTTCAGCATACATTCACGCCAAATTTAAGCTTAAACCAAAGCTGGGAAGCAACAGCCAACTCACCCTGGCCTTTCTTGAGCAGAACCTTGCTATCAGGAGTAGCCCACTCACATTTTTCGGTGATCTTTTCGATGATCAGCTTCGCACACCTGAGATGGGAGGTCCAAACCCATCTGTTGGATCCAGTGATCCAAGTACCATGCAACAGCATGGCGTGTTTCAATCCTGTCTTCCGAATTCCATTCTCCCAACTCTACCAAAAATGGATAAAAATGGTGGGTTCCAAAAAAACAGCACCTCCAAAATCCTCCAAAACAAACTTCTAGAAACGACATGCCGCTCTGCTGTTGCCCACCCAAATCCAACGGATCCCGAATTTGAGCTCCTCACTCTGCACCTGTGACAGCTGGCAGCATGTTACATATAATGTACGTATGCGTAACTTATATTTATTAACATATTTGTGTTGTTCTTGTAACATTACAGTAACATTTACATTGGCAAGACATGGTAAGACCCTCCAACATTCTGAAGTCAATTACTTTAAACATCTTTAAACCATCACCTTTGCCAAGATTCTTGGATCTCAGAATGGGTATCCAGGCCATGCTCATGCTCCATCTCCCAACATCCAGCAAACATCCAGGTCATCCAATGCATCGCACCTGTCTTGTTGTGGGGCATGATGAGTTTGTGTGGCTTTTCCGCTGGATCAGGATAGGCTTCCTGGGCACATCCATGGTGGCCCTGGTGGCCCTGGTGGCTCCGTGGCTCCGACCGAATAACATGGCTAGCGCTGATTCAGATTGTCCAACATATCAAAATATATCAAAATATATCAAATCAGACTCAGAAGTCATCAATATCCGATTCACATTCGCGTAATGTGTTGAATCAAAATCCATTAACCACCAATCCATCAAGAATCCATACATTGTTTGATATTGATCATTCAACCACTGATCGTTCCAAGGCGCCACAACCACCGGCAAATGGTTGGGATATTTCTTGCGGATTTTCGACACCTCCAGGGGCCGTTCCCAGTTGGACTCGTGCATCCCTTCAGAAACACCATGGCTATGGATGGCTATGGGCCACACAATCAGGCACACAATCAGGCCATCTAAGGCGCAGAATCCAAAGAATTCCATGAAAAGACTGAAATGGTGGAACTCAGTCAATCTGAAGCTTGAAAAAGGTCTTACATTTTGATCCTTACACACATATTCTATCATATTCTGAGATGCTACCAATTTTGCAGCAACTTCACAAATCTGACACTGGCTGTTGACATTGGTGCCAACGATTAAATCCTTCTGGAAAAGGGTGGCAATTTTGTCTAAAAAATACTGACAAATACTTCAATATTTCTGAACAAATCAAGCAGCCATCATTACGTGACTACACATATTATATCCATTATGGTTGATGAACATGCCAATTGTATTAATATCCCCACAATATTCCCGTTATTTATGTTATTTTCCCATGATTTCCTAAGGTATTCCCAGTATTGGACCTATCCCTCAAACCTTGCCGCCTGCACAGGGTCCATGGTTGCGTTCGCAGGGTGTCGCTGGCGCTGCGGCGTTCGACTCAGGTCTATCGCAAAAGAGCGGTTCGCTTACCGTTTGAACATGAATGAACACATCTGCAGCAGGATGCGGCAGGCAGGGTTTTATAGGATGCACCATGCCATGTGGCCAGGGTTCCAAGACTTGGTGGCTTGTTGAGCCTCTGCTAAAAGTCTAACCATGTCTAACCTTTAGTGGGAGATATATTAATGATGAAACCATCTACTACCAAAGATGCTAAAAAAATGAAGGGTGTGGCTATAATCAATCCAGAAAATCATTAGAACTTTTTCGGTGTTGATATTTCTAGGGTAGCCCAGTAGGATCCTTTTAAAAGCTCAAATGGCCCATCTCCAGGTCGCATGGGTCAAACTTGGTAACACTGGCTATGAGTCAAAATCCTGGCCTATACGGTAATGATAGGTTTTTACCCATCCCGATAGATATTATCCCCATGAGATTTCCCTGTTCCAAGGTTCTGGACCCTCTCTGGGCCTTGCTCCAGGTGCTTCTCTGATGAGGCCTGAGTGCGATCTTGGCCGTTTTTTCGAGCCTGGAGATACACTTTAAAGAGCACGAAAAACATGGAATGAGGATGGCCATGGTGATGAATGATGATGATGATGATGATGATGATGATGATGATGATGACGTTGGCGATGACGACGATATCGTTTCAGCATGATGATCAGCGTAAAACTAGTGCAAATATGAAGGCCACCTGACTTGACAAATCACACATAAATATACATGGGGGTTGTCCAAAATACCTTTTCCCGGACAGCCCTCAATCGCTCAGCCAATCGCGTAGCAACCGCGGTACCACAGTGAGCAATCGCGGAAGGGTTTGTTCTTCGTTGATCAGATCATATACATAAAATATAAGTTATGTATTATATAATGAGGATCCATGCGTGAACGCATTCGATTTCAAATTTGGGAACAAAATAGGCTCGCGCGGTCCGGAAACGGTCCGGAAAACTCACAGTAGTACCAGCAGCAGTAGTACTAGTAGTACTAGTAGTACTAGTAGTACTAGTAGTACTAGTAGTACTAGTAGTACTAGTCGTAGTAGTAGTAGTAGTAGTAGTAGTAGTAGTAGTAGTAGGAGGGGTAAGAGTAGGAGTAGGAGTAGGAGTAGGAATAGGAGAAGGAGTTCTAGTAGCAGGGCAAGGGAAGAAAGGGAGAGGGAGGGAAAGAGAGAAAGAGAGAGAGAGAGGGAGGGAGGGGGAAACAGATGGTTGCGTTTGACCGGTTTCTGACGGGTTTCTGACTGGTTTCTGACTGGTTTCTGACTCGTTTCTGACCCTTCAGCGGAACTCGTGTCAATTGGATTTAAAAGCAAGAGCAGAAATTCCTAGGTGTACTAGTGGTAGTGGTGGTGCAGTAGCAGCGGGTGTGGTGGTAGTACTAAGAGTAGTAGCAAATCTAGTAGTGGGAGTAAGGATCCATGCGTGAACGCATTCGATTTCAAATTTGGAAGCAAAATAAGCTTGCGCGGTCCGGAAACGGTCCGGAAAACTCACAGTAGTACCAGCAGGACTAGCAGTAGCAGTAGCACTAGCAGTAGTGGTAGTGGAAATTGCAATAGGAGTAGGCGTAGGAGTTCTGATGGGAGGGTGAGGGAATAGGCAAGGGAGAGAGAGAGAGATTGCTTTTGGCCGGTTTCTGACGGGTTTCTGACTGGTTTCTGACTGGTTTCTGACTCGTTTCTGACCCTTCACACGAGTGCAATTGGATTTAAAAGCAAGAGCAGAAATTCCTAGGTGTACTAGTGGTAGTGGTGGTAGTGGTGGTGCAGGGTGGTGCAGTAGCAGCGGGTGTGGTGGTAGTGCTGGGGGTAGTAGCAAATCTAGTAATGAGAGTAAGGATCCATGCGTGAACGCATTCGATTTCAAATTTGGGAGCAAAATAAGCTTGTGCGGTCCGGAAACGGTCCGGAAAACTCACAGTGCACTAGCAGTAGCAGTAGCACTAGCAGTAGTGGTAGTGGAAATTGGAATAGGAGTAGGCGTAGGAGTTCTGGTAGGAGGGTGAGGGAATAGGCAAGGGAGAGAGAGAGAGAGGTTGCGTTTGGCCGGTTTCTGACTGGTTTCTGACTATTTCTGACCCTTCCGTGGAACTTCTGTCAAGTGGAGAAAAGCAAAGGCAAAAATTCCTCGGTGTAGTAGTGGTAGCGGCGTTGCAGTGGTAGCGGCGCTAGTGGTAATACTGAGAGTAGTAGCAACACTAGTAGAAGGATCCGCCCATGAACGCATTCGTTTTCATATTTGAGAAGAAAAGAAAATTGCGCGGTCCGGAAACGGTCCGGAAAACTCACACAAATACCAGTAGTAGGAGTAGGAGTAGGAGTAGAAGTTGGAGTAGGAGTAGGAGTAGGAGTAGGAGTAGTAGTAGGAGTAGTAGTAGTAGCAGTAGTAGCAGTAGTAGTAGCAGTAGTAGTAGTAGCAGGAGTAGTAGTAGTATTAGTAGCAATGAAAAGAGCTGAGGTGGATGGATGGATGGATGGATGGATGGATGGATGGATGGGATGCTAGGCAAGTGCTGCCTTTTTGGTGTTTCTGACCTGTTTTCTGACCTGTTTCTGACCTGTTTTCAATTGGAGCTAGCTTGAATGTCCTTCTGACCTGAAAACATCTGCGCGGATTCCGCGCGCGCGGATTCCGCGCGCGGAATCCGCGCGGCCATGTCAATTATTGGCATGGTTCTGGTCTCGAAAGTAGTAGTAGTAGTAGTAATAGTAGTAGTACTAGTACTAGTACTAGTACTAGTACTAGTAGTACTAGTACTAGTAGTACTAGTACTAGTAGTACTAGTACTAGTAGTACTAGTAGTAGTAGTAGTAGTAGTAGTAGTAGTAGTAGTAATAGGGTGGTAGCCGTATAACCAATCGCCAACCAATCGCTCAGCCTATCGCGATGCAGGTTTTAGCAATCGCGCAAAGCAAAGTAAACGCATCAATTCATAAATTTGTGACCTGCTTTTACGGACGGCTCCCAAATGATGTTACAAATGCTGAAAGATAATGAGCTCTTTTTTCCATCCTTTGTCAACTGGTGCCAGGGCAGCTCACTTTGGAATGCCTTCAAAGTCCGGTAGCAACAGCGGAGCAAGGGGAGTGACCAGGTTTGTGGCTGCATGGAAGACGAGAGAGCAGCTGACTGGAGCAACCGACCAACTATCAGCTACAAATAAACCTGGAATATCAGTTGACATCTGACACCTCTGAGTTGCCATGACCTTCCACAAGTCTCTGAAGTCTCAAGCTTCGGCGAAGGATTCCTCGGGCTTTCAAACGGGGGCTCAACTTTGTACTTGCCATTGCGATGGCCTGAATCGTTCGAAATTCTCCGACCAAGTCATGGCCACCTGAATCATCCTTGGCAAATCCCTCAATTGCAATGCTCTCTTCCAAAATGGCCAGGATCTTTGTAGCCCCTTCTCTAGCGACCTTGGCAAAATCTAGCAGCAAATTTGGAAGCTCTTCGAACTGAGCCTCTTCCACAAGCCAAACAAAGGTGACTTCGGCGTGAAGGATCAACTCATCGAAAACCTGGTGAATAGCCTGGAGCTTTGCGGCAAGCAGGCCGCAGCAGGCCTGCCGCAAGGGCCTGCAACAAGATCTGATTGATGTTCTCTGATATCAATCCATTGGGAATCTCCAAATTGATGATTGAACAAATAGGTAAAACATGGTAAACCATTGTAAAAATGATAGAACATTCTAAACTGATATAAACTGTAAAATGATCAATCTTAAACCCACCAGAAATCTATGACCTAAAACCGTTTGCCTTTGTCCATGGCTGCCCCATGCCGCCTACAAAGCCCATTGAGCTGCGCCAGCTGTTGCAATGGCATCTTTGAAGGCAGAAGCGTCAATGCTTCCGAATGGCCATGCTCCATGGTTTGCTCGGCCCACTGCTCTGGATGGCTCTGGATTCACAAAGTCAGAAAATTAATATGGTCAACATGCTGCTTAAGTGCGTCATGCTCATATCATATTTGGGGTGAATTATATATGAGTTTTCCTGAAATAAGGCTATTTTGGGATGATCCCCCTTAGTAACCATGATTCCAATGAGGTCACAGTGAGGCCACTATCATTTAGACAATGGACAAGTAGAATCAAATAGATAGAGTAGATGCATGTATGTTCATAGCATGAGCATATACCTCGCCATAACCATGAGTTGCAACATTATGTCATTCCCGACCTTCCAGCTAGCTAAAGGTAAGACCATGCAATAAGAGCCTGAAAGTAAAAGCTGCGGCCAACAATCTATAGGTCTGTCTGACACACGCACAAAGCACATGAGAAATAATTAGGCTGATAAACAGCGAGCAAATGCCAACACACGCATCTTTTTGCGCAATCTGGTGTAAATCACGGTGCCTGTACAAGTTGAAGAAGCTAGGTATATATGTACGTACGCACGTGGAGCCGTACACATGAACAATATGTCTGGTGTGTGTGTGCTTCCCGCTGCCATGTTTTGCAGCCGAACATGCCCTTTGTGCCATTTTTTCTCTTTTTTTTAAATGCCAGTGGCTCTATGTGGCTCTCTCCCTTCGGAGGTTACATCCCACCAAATCTGACCAGCATGCCCTGCAGCCAGTGAGCATTCTGTAGCAGTTTCGGCTCCTGACTTCTGATGGCTGTCTGCACCAGTTGGGACAAAAAGGGTGCCTTGCCCACATAGGCCGTAAGCTCCTGCTGAAAGACCAAGATCAAATCGCCCACCACGCCCACAGCTGCCTTGATCACTGGCAGCTGTGAAGTTTGATCCTCAGAGATCTCCTTGACCAACATGAGCACCGTATTCACATGCTCCTTGAAGAGATGTAACTTGCCGGATTCCTTCAAGCCATGGATGATGCCCGAATATGCTTCAAGAACTCCCTCCCGTAAAAGGTTCAAGTAGTCCACCCACTCTTCATTGTCCGCTGGCCCATCTGCCAGCTTGGTGGAAGAAGCTTCCCGAAGCATCTGCACCACAGGCCCCAGGTACTTCTCAAAGTCACCGGTGATGGCCATGGCAATGTCACCAAAACAAGTCATGACAGATGCCTTGATCTTGCGATCCACGGCCGGGTTCTTCAAGTTGGTGTAGAGGATCTCCAAGATCATGTCACAGTAGCCCCCGATCTTTTTCTCCAGAGCTGTGCAAAGATCTCCCACCATTCTGGTGGTGGTCAAGCACACCTGCACCTCCTCGTAGTTTTGCAAGCCCACCGTCAAGTGAGGCGCGAAATGTGGCATAAAGCGATCAAAGCCTGAGCCAGCTGCATTGGCTAAGGCCACGACCAACAGCAGAGCCTCCTCATGAAGCACCTGCGCGCCGCCCCGCACCTGTTGGTATGCTGAGATGACCTTTAGAGCCTCCTCCATGATCTTATCTGCCAAGGGAGCAATCTGATCCCGGAGTCTGGACACCAAACTGGTGAGCACACCACAAATGTAGCCTTGCAACTCACACTCGCGATCCATCGATTTGTAGGATTCCTGCAAGTGTTTCAACATCTCAGTGGTCAATGCCTGCATATGCCCCAAGCAGTCGTTGCCTGCCTTGCTCACTAAGACGCTCAAGGCGTTGTAGCCTGCCATCCGTAGCTGTCGCTCATCAGCATCCGGTCGTGCCACCACTTCCAGTAAGGCCATAGCGATGGCTGTGAAAAATTCCGACAAAGGCGTCGTGTCCGGATAGGGGACCGAATTTTGGGCCTCTGCCAGAACCTGAAACTCAACGGACTCAATCGTAAGGAACAAATTGGACAGGCACCAACTGCTGCATAGTGGAATATTAATACACTCATCAAGGTATTGATAAATATTTTGACCAAAATGCATCAAAATGCACTGTAGCATGTTATCATATTGTGGGTATATATATAATTATATATATATATATACATACAGTATGCCAGTATGTCTTTTTAAGTGCAACCAAACGACCTGGACATTCCAACAAATGTTTGCGGAGACTCTTGGTACATCTCGAAGCTTCTCACAAAGCAAGGGCATGAGCTGCTTCACTGGCACAATGGTGGGATGGAATTGGGCAATGCGACCCAAAGTCCAGGCAATGGTGTCACCTAGCAGCCAAACTGCGATATGATGCAATGGACGATTGGGTATGATTGCGGGCATGTGTTCAGAACTAAAGCATTCAAATTTGCTGGATTTATCAAAAAGTTGGACCCCAAAAACATGTTTTAAAGTTTTCGCGTCTACAAAAAACATCCATTCCATCATATTCCATCGGAGTCACGCACTGCCACACTGGGGTCTTGAAGAGCCATGACCAAATGACTGAGGCTTTGCTCCACCATGGGTCGCATCTTCTCAGACGTTGGGCCCTCCATGATGGAGCCATAAGCCAGCACCGCTGCTTCACGGTACTTCCAATCCTGGAGTTTTGGTGCTGAGGCCACCTTCTGAAAGTTCCATAAGTGAGAAACCAAATAGTACTATATATATAAACAATAGATAACAATAGTACTATGTACTATAGAGATATATATAGAGTCTATATATATATAGTAGTGGATTACCCAATGGAGGGAGAAAACAAAAAAAAAAACTATCATCTTGAGCAAATCCCTGGATCCTGATTGGTAAAGTTGCCATTCACAAATTGCAGCACCAAATCCACACAGCCATCCCCAACCACCTGGGCCACCAGCGCAAGACAGGTGCCTGCAGCCATGGCCAAACTCCAGGTGTCGTCATCATCTTCACTTTGTCGCTTGGTCAGGGTCACGGTGAGCAAAGGCACCAAGTGTGGCAAGGCCTGTTGAATGAGATTCAAGGATACCCTGCCACCAGCTGGTTGCCCACTCTGCACCAAGTCCATGAGGTACAGCTCCTGACTAGCCGTGACTAGCCAAAATCATCAGCATAGCTTTAGTATCGGGGCTGAGAACTTGTTCAACATATTTCAACACTCTCCCAAACCTTCAACCTTCTCCCAAGAAAAGACAGCATGAAAACTAAGGATGGTGAATTCTTGCCAGGTTTCCTCGTCGCAAATGGTGGACCAGAATTCCATGGCAGGGATGGCCACCTTCTCCGGAGCAGATTTGATGGTCTCTAAGGTCAGCAAGCCCAAGTTGTTCATGTACGGCATGAGAAAATCGTAGTACTCCGTGGCGATTTGCACCAAGCACTCAAATGCCGCAATCTGTACTTCAGGAGCTGCCGTGAACATACAGGCATCATGCATTACGGACATGATGACGTCCCGCTCCACCTGGTTCCTGAAGTTCTTCTTGGCCAACACCACTGCGTGGTAGAAAGCCCTGGTCGCCTCTAATTTGGTGTTGGGTTCTGGGTCCCTCATACCCTGAACCACTGCTGTCAAGATATTATTGGCAATATCATCTGATATATTGCCACCCTCCTCCTGCACCAGCACCAGTTCTTCACACAAATAGCCCAGGCAAACCAATGAGATCTGCCTCGCTGCATTGTCCGTATTGGTGACATGTTGCAACAACAAGGGCACCAGTCCTGGCCACTCATTGGGTGGAATCTCTATGGCCCCAATCTTGGCCAAGACTTGTGCTGCCGCCTTCCCCACATCCACTTGTGGAAAGACTAAGGCCGTGGTCGTGGCTTCCTTCACCAAGTTTCGACTGGGCGCAGGCAACGCCACCCATCTCTGCTTCAGTTCCCTGTCTCTGGCCAAGTCCTTGGCCGCTAGGCCGTTCTTCAACAACAGCCCTGCCAGCTGTCGAGCAACCACCGGCTTCTCGGCATTGGCTAACTCCTGGGCCAAGGCCGAGAAATATTGCTCCACATTGGCTTGTTCAGCCTGTTTGATCTGGGCCTCAGCTTGAGCATTTTTGCTAGGATCTTGAGTTGCCAAAAGCAACTCCGTCAAACTCATCGCGAGAGCTCGGCACCCATCCACCAGTTTGCCCGGCAGGGTGAGGCACGTCAAAATCACCCGGTGAGTGCTGTGGGTTGAGGTTAGAATCTATGGGTCTAAGTATCTTCACGCATATGTTGATGTCCAACATGTGCGGTACATGGTAACGAAATAGATTATAGATACATAGATAGATAGATGAATACAATATATATATATAGAGATATAGATAGATAGATATATGGACATAGATATAGATATGTGTAAGTTCTTGTTTTGGACTCTGTTCAGGGACCTTGTTTTGTCTGCTTGTTCCCTAGCTGGCTTCGTTCAACTAGCGCAGTGCTATCAGCCAACGGATTGCAGATTGCAGAAGTGACCCAATCAGCACAGGCTCTTGAACATTGGCCTTCAAGAGTATCGTAATTACACCACAAGTAGTGAACACAGTGTGACCCTTTTTTGCACGGCATTTATGGTATTCCGGGCTCGTGCATTTCAGTCATTGCTGATTGCTTCAAATAGATGCACAGCCCGATGTATTTTGTACAATGGTCCGCTACTAAGGCCCTCACGATATTGAGCACTCCACATCAGGACTGGGAACGCAGCAGTTTGGAAGAACTCTGGCTTTGGTCCGCAACACTTAGGTGACACAACATGGTTTTCGCACGTTTTCACCGGGAAATGTGTGGCGATATTGCCGGAAACCAGCTTGTGAATTGTGCAGAGGGGCAACAACAACAAAAAACACTCTGTTTTCTTGAGCAAACTGACCTATATGCTGACATATGATATCCCTAAGCTATGAGTCAAGACTCCCTCATAAGCCTCTGTCTGCACCAAATAAGTGGAATGTATTGAATATATGAATATATGATGGAATATGTTCATCCACCCGCTAAGCCAAGGTCCCATCAAGTGTCCAATGACCCACATTTTTCAACAGCATTCACTGGGCTATCAAGCTCTTCAAGCGCCATTCTCTTGCACAAGACCTGACCCAAAACTATCATTGACATATTATGGTGCATCTCTTCAAAATTGGGAACTAATGGAAGA